GGACTCAGTCCCACCTCAGTAGCAATAAGGAATGCCTTAGTGCCGATGTATGAGCAGTGACGAGAAATATATTTCTCCTTCTCGGGGATTGAATCCCCACAGCTCAGCCATTCAATAACTAAGCTATAGCGGATCGTACATAAAGTACATTTTGTAGAAAGAATCTGTGAAGATGTCAGCCTGCTTTAACGCGATAAGGCTTGCTTATAATACAGTGTTGCTTAGATGAAAGCTGAAACATTTCTGTCCTCTTTGCTGCTTTCTTCATATTCGCTTCCTACATGGCTTTTTCTTCAACTCTACAGAAGGAAGCTACAGGTCTCCCAGACACGTAAATTCACTTTCAACTGAATGTACGGCACTAGATCTCAGAAGATATAATCTTCGTACCACCGCTGTGAGGTCCTCAAGACCTCAAAGAAGAAAGTTTCTAACACGGACAAATAATTATCAAATAATCCATGGTGATTCCATTAATGCATAGATATTTGGTTAGCTGACTAGTCTGTATGTCAGAGGTAATCTCTCGCAATATATTTTACCTGTTAAGCTCATTCATAGAAACTACATACATAAATCACAAAAGTAAAACATTCTTTAATATTAAGCAGAAAAGTCAGAATAAAAACGTGAAGAGAGATTAATTCTCTTTAAAATTAGTCTGAAACAGAAGTGCGGTAACTGATATTTATGGGGCAGGTCACAGATGGGAATTCTTGGGTGTAAGTCTTAATGCCAGATTAATTTATGGTGAGCCATTCTTTACGGGCGGTGAAGTGAAATCAAGGAAGAAACCGCACACGGGCCTGCGAAACTGAACCTTAAGGAAGAATGAAATAAATATTGGCTTCTCAATAGGAGAATGATGAACTGAGTGAAGGTTTCTTATTATTAATTTCGATATTATTTTAAATTTTTCATCTATTTAATATATATATAAACAGGAAGAAATTAAAAGAAGATTGAACTCGGGCAATGTTTGCTACCACTCAGTCCAGAACAATTTTTCTTCACGTCTGCGGTCTAAAAACTTAAAAATTAGAATATAGAAAACTATAATTTTGCCTGTGGTTCTGTATTGATATGACACTTTGTCTCTGACATTAAGGGAGGAACATAGACTGAGAGTGTTTGACAACAGGATGCTGAGGAGAATATTTGGACCGAAGAGAGATGAAGTGACAGGAGGTTTGAGAAAACTGCATAATGAAAAGCTTCATTACTTGTACTCTTCTCAAAGTATAATTAGTTTGATGAAATCAAGGAGGATGAGGTGGGCAGGGCATGTAGCACGAATGGGGAGAGACGAATGCATATAGGATACTGGTAGGGAAGTCAGGAGGAAAGGGATCACTGGGAAGACCAAGGCGTAGGTGGGTAGACAATATTAAAATGGATCTTAGAGAGATAGGATGGGATGGTATGAATGGGATAAATTTGGCTCAGGATAGGGATCAGTGAAGGGCTCTTGTGAACACGGTAATGAACCTGAGGGTTCCATAAAATTTTTTGAGTATCTGCATAATTGGCTGCTTCTCAAGAAGGGCTCAGCTCCATGAGTGAGTGAGTTACTTAGTTAAATAAGGAGCCGGGGTAGCACAGTCGGTGTAGCGACTGGCTACGGGCTGGACCACCGAGGGGTCGCAGTTCTAGTCCCGGTAGGGTCAAGAATTTTCTCTTCTCAAAGTCATTCGGACCGGCTCTGTGGTCCACCCAACCTCATATCCAATGTGTATCGGGAGTAAAGAGGCTGGAGAGTGAAGCTGACCACTCGCCCTTAAATAGTGCCGAAATCAAGACAATGTGGATCTATACATCAATTCCCCCATACATCTTCATGGCTTGTGTTTGATTAGTTAAGTACAGGGACAACTTTACTCTTTTTACTTTGATTAATAAGGGATTCCATGGCAGAGAATCTTCCTTGGAAAGTCGATAGTTATTGACTTCGTCAAAGAAATTTCCTCAATGAAGAGTTGTATCTGCGGGTACATAACACAGCCTGGTCCACTGAGAGTCAGTTGACGTTTGGGAGGAGGATCTCCCATTTCAGGATAGAAAAATAAGTCAAGCAAGAAACCAAAATTAATTAAGCTACAAGCAGGGTTTGCTGTATATTACATGTAGTTACTATAGGATTCTGACGATGGTGTATAACACACTGATATATTGGGTTTTTGGACTTTATCCATCGTCCTGGTTTTTAAGATAACTAATAAAAACACGACGTTTCGGAAACTGGATCTGTTTCCGTCCTCAGGTGAAGGAAAACACCTATTCTGTTGGGTCCGTGATTGAGTCCAGTGATTGAGGCTAGCTCTTTCTAACGGACCCAACAGAATAGGTGTTTTCCTTCACCTGAGGACGGAAACAGATCCAGTTTCCGAAACGTCGTGTTTTTATTAGTTATCTTAAAAACCAGGACGATGGATAAAGTCCAAAAACCCAATATATCAGTCTGTATATTACATGCCTGCACTTGCTGGCTTCTTGCTCTCATTATACTTCAATAATGAAAATGGAATATTCTTTATAAACGTTTGCTGACTTTCACAAGAATATTAATACACTGATGCATAGCCAAGAAGAAAAAACTCTCCAAAGAGAAATGAATTGGAAAAACGTGAAAGAAAGATGACGTGGCCTAACTTGAAGACTTGAGTGACAGTGAAACCACAAAAACCCTTGACCCTCAAGAATATTGAGGAGGATTACTATCCATTCGACCATGATATTCGGCAGGATTTCATTTGAAATTTATGTGTAAGGTTACATGGGTTCATGTAGCACCGATGCAGAATTTTATTGACAATTTAAAGATTTCATATCTAATTTTTTTATTTAAAAAATGAAGCTCCATTAGCTCTCCCATCACGTTCGGCGTTTTCTATATGTAGCAAAGGATTTCTCCCGCATACCTGCGCCACGGGATTAATATCGCAGTAACAACAAGGCGTGCAGACCATTTAGGTTCCAACAAGGAATACGGTATGGGCACTGCCCGGGGATGTTCCTACTGACTGTACGAAAATGTTGATCCTCTTTAAAGGGGAAGTATTTAACGTGTCAGGGAATTTCTCTTGTGACATATACGTAACTGAGAGCTTAATACGCCTGTTAATCTATACGCGTATGGGCCCAATAAAAGAAATGAGACAGACTGAGTGACAACACACTACAGGCAATAATATTGGAGCTAAGGGAAACATACTTTTACAGTAATTTGACCGGTTTATAGCCTACCTGCACTATACGTTTACGATCCTTTAAAATGGTGCTTAACCCTAGAAATGACAAGTCACATAAGACAACAATACAGAAACTAAGGGAAAGGACTTTTACAGAAAATCGAAAGAGGTTTAGGGTCTCCTTGCACTAGGGCACATTAGAGTGATGTTTAAACCCAGAAATGGCATATAACTACAGCCAACAATACTGAAGCAACAAGGAATGAGCTTTTACAGAAATTCGAATGGGATTTATACTACAATACACTGTTAAGTTATTTTAACCCGAGAAATGCCAGAATTAAAGTCAACTGCCAAAAATTTAACTTCTCAGATCTGCTCTCCTTTCGTGGATAGAAAATGTATCAACACTCCCCAAGGCCTCAAATGTAGGGAAATGTTTTCTTCGTGCATTTCTTGATTGTGTACTTGAAATGAAAAGCGAAAAGATATAGGCCAGAAGACGCAAGAATTCTTCTGATCGCCACAATTTTTCAACATTTGATTCTGATAGGGTTAGAATGAACTGGGCATGGTGACCCAAGGTAGAAAAAAGAAAATATAACGAATTTTAATTAAGGGATGTCTCTTGAGAATGATCTATTTTGAAGAAAAATATGAACTTGTAAAAACAAAACAAAAATTTACTTTAAGAAAATTGTTTTTTTTTTTTTATAAATCACTATTTAGGAGTACTTAGACAACATGTCGGATTAGTTAATAGTCAGAGAGCTAGACGGGTGATATTTGCTACCAATTAGTCCAGAACCTTTTGTCTTCTCATCTGCTGTCTAAAAACAAAAAATTAGAATAGACAGAACTGTAATTTTGCCTTTGGTTCTGTATGGGTGTGAAACTTTTTCTCTGACATTAAAGGAGGAACATAGACTGAGGGTATTTGAGAACAGGGTGCTGAGGATAATATTTGGAACTGTGATTTTGCCTCTGGTTCTGTATGGGTGTGAAACTTGGTCTCTGACATTAAAGGAGGAACATAGACTGAGGGTATTTGAGAACAGGGTGCTGAGGAGAATATTTGGAGATGTAGTGACAGGAGGTTGGAGAAAACTGCATAATGAGGAGCTCCATAACATGTACTCTTCTCCAAGTGTAATTAGAATGATGAAGTCAAGGAGGATGAGGTGGGCAGGACATGTAGTACGAATGGGTAAAAGACGAATACATATAAGATATTGGTGGGAAAGTCAGAAGGAAGGAGAACACTAGGAAGACCAAGACGTAGGTGGGTGGATAATATTAAAATGGATCTTAGAGAGATAGAATGGGATGGTATGTATTGGATTGATCTGGCTCAGGATAGGCACCAATGGAGGGCTCTTGTGAACACGTTAATAAACCTACGGGTTCCATAAAATGCTGGGAAGTTCCTGAGTGGCTGAACAAATGGCGGTTTCTCAAGAAGGGCTCAGCTCCATGAGTGAGTGAGTTAAAATAGTGTTTTTTTTTCGTTGATAAAAATTGAATCCAGTTATTAGAATTTTCCATTATCCAAACCACATTTTCATTAATTCATTCAAATAATATTCGTTCTACTGCAGTTAGAATTTTGTTGAGAGACTTTCTGAGAAAGAATATGAGATAACATTTCGATACATCTTAAGGAAAGAGTTTTGTAGGGCTGAATGTCCATAGAACTGGCTCAGTAACAAGCCCAATAACGGTGTTTGGTACTAGAAGTACAGGAACTTTAGGTTGTGCTATTAGAGAGCTAGCTAAAATGAACAACAAAGAAGGAAACAAATGAACACATACCTGAGTATGGCAACGAGTGTAGAAGGCATACAGATGACACACAGCGTAATGTCCGAAATCGTGAGGTTTACAATGTACAGGTTCCGTGCAGTATGCATTTGCGTCCTCCTTGCCACCACGAAACTCACAAGCAGATTAGTCACCAGTCCTGCCACCATTAACACGGCATACACTATGATCAAGGCTACTTCAGCATGGCCGCCCAAGTCCCTATCTTCCCGCTGTCTTTCACTCAGCAAGATCCGCAGAGCTTCGTCGAGACTGAAGTTGAACAGCGGAAACTGCTGCAGCGATGTATTGAAATGCGAGTTCGAATCGGGCGTAAGTGACTGAATTCGGTCATCCATTAGGAGTAATCTCTGAATTTCCGCTCTAGTAGACGCTTCATGCAGATCCTCACAAGAGGAGGACGAAACATCATAACTCATTGCAGTTCTGGGTCACTTGACATTCTTTATAATTGTCCATAAGGGCTTCTAATTTTGACTTTATTTCCTTATATAAATTTAAAGTAAAATTTCCACATGAAATTGTTAGATAATTCTTGTACACATATGCTATTACATTTTGTTAGATTTTACTGTTTTTCGCTGTATAATTCAAAATATATATGTTTCATATTGATCTTTGGTGTATCTTAAAATATTGATTTAAATTTAATGTCTTAAGTGTCTTTTGATTAATCTTCTTTTTATCACTCAGAACATTATGTACATCTATAATATTTATATTTATAGAGTCTAAAATAATAAGAATTCAAACACTTCCTGTTAACTTCGATAACATTTTGCCTTATAATAACCATAAATAATGTAATCTATTCCATTTTGATATGAAACAGTTCCAGCCTAAATATTTACGAAAGTTACTTTGTTCTTCTGAAAATAATTTTCAAACAATTTTTCTTATTTTAGAGAAAATATTGAAGTATTTATAATAATAATTGTAAGTATGCATAAAATATGTATAGTATAAATATATATTGTTTTTTACCTTATTTAGTCAAATGAGTTACGTGTCAAGAAAGAGTGACCTGTGTTAACAGCTGTACCGATCACAAAATAAAAATAAATTGTTATGTTTTTGTTATAAATGCTCCTCACTGTTCCAGAACAACAAATAGAAATTCACTCAAATCTGTTCTTGAGCCACTTTCTTTTATTGCAAAAAACAACAGAGTGTGTTATTGTCAATTCTGCATCCCTTCGGAATCACTTCTACCAGTTAAAGGCAAACATTTTTGATGTAACAAACCTTAACAACACACAATTAGTGAGTATGATATTTACTAAAATGGAAGAGAAGTACGTCCAGATTTAACCCAGTTAATTACAATTATGTTATTACGTGGTACGTGCACTTTTAGAATGAAGTAATTCTCTGCACAGTTAATCTATCTCCCAGATTTTATAAACTAGGCAAACAGAAAGATATCTCCAATTGTGCATTGTTTTCGCTTAAAATATACCACATAAGCACTGACTTTAAACTTTGTTTATTGTTTACTGTAAATAAAAATATATCACCACTCAAAATAAATTCCATAAATAATTTATGTGTCAGTAACGCCAATTTTCAGGTACACTGGAGTTCGCAGAATATCCTTAATATTATCCGACACAAAAATCTGCCTTCACTTCATAATGATTCTTAATTAATAATAACAACATGCACGATTATATTTAAACTGTGGGAAGAAACAAATATTAAGAAAATAGCTGTCCTAGTCAGTAATTTCAACAATCAGTTCACCTGTCAGTACGAATAATGGTGAATTATATGTAAATACAAAGACGGAAAAAAATATCAAAACACTTCACAAATTTATTAAGTCACACCAGAAACTTTTATGTAGATAACAACCACTGAATCATATTCGATATGATATACAAAAGGCTGAAACTAAAATTAAAGGTGAACATATAACAAATTATGTTTTCCATCATTAATTTTTGATCAGCACTCGACCAGTGCTAACCCATTCGTTTACACGAGCAGTCGTACTTCAAAAATATGCAATTATTTTCAAGTTGTACAAAACTCAAGATAATATTAATTCCAGCCTACACGTTGATCACAGAATTCTTCGCCATCTCTTTCTGTATCACATAAGAATGTTAAGGTATATTCTACTATAATTTCATTGTAATTAGGAATTTATGTAGACTAAAAGTATTTAATATGGATAATAACTCTAAGGGACCTTAAAAATATAACCAGAGACTCACAAAAGGAACAAATATATACTGAGTTATTCTCGCTTATCACAACCGCCCGCACTAAAATTCATGAGAGAAGTAACGAAAAGAGAACTGATCCACTGCACTGAACAGAGTCCTTCTTGAACAGCTGATGATCGTTCAAATTTTCAAGAAAACCCATACATTTCATGGAAAACGAAGGTTCAGTACCGTGTTCAAAACTTCATACCACTGAAACTTAATTTATTTCAGAACTTGACCTCCATTTCCTTAAGATTCATTTTAATATCACCGTCAAATTAACGTCTATATCCCCCAAGGTAACTGCTCCGTTAAGGTTCCACAAATAAAACTCTGTATACATTTACCATTTCCTTACAAATGCTATATTGTTAGGCCATTCCCTCCTTTTGAATTTCTTTATTGTGCAATTTTGTCTGCCTTTGTCTTATTTTATCCTCATTACATAGAAATATTCTCCTCAGCAAACTGTTTTCAACCCCCTCAATGTTATTCTCATGTGACAAATCAAGTTATGAAAGATAAATAATTTTTTTCTTAAAAATTCATTATCTCTTAATCTGAAAAATATATTGTTTTACAGATAAATGCAAAATTCCAATTAACTCCAGTAAACTGTACCAAATTAAAATGTCGCTAGTTCACATTAAAATATTTATACACTTGAGTAACTAATTCGCAAGGATAAACTGTACGTTATGCTGTGTAACGGCTTTGTACGAGCAACGCGAGACGCAGGGGCGTCGCGTATCTACTGACGGCGAAGTCGAGATGATGGTAACACGGAGAACAGTGCTCCGGGGCCCGAACGAGCGCCGACCCATCACAGCAACTGCGCATGTCTTATACGTCTCGTTCCGTTCACATAAATCTGTGATCGTGGGAAAATGTGCAGACATTAAGAGCAACAAGCATTAAAGCGACTGCATAGATCTGTCATTAGAGCCCACCTGTTTAACATGTTTGTATTTCACAGCTTTAGATAAAGGTATTCCATAGCTTTTGTTGATATTCTGCGCTGGGGGAGGTTAGATAGAGGATGGAGTTTCAGAGTCATCATATGCTGTCCTGAAAGGAATTCTAGAGGCAGATTGCCGTCTCTTGATCTCATCAAATATCTTCAGTTATTTTGGGTAAATATCGTACTCCCACAAAGCAGAATTCGGCTTCTGTGAAACTCTGACTTCCAGTGGTGTGTTTACTAGAGTCCATCGCTGATCGTACACAGGGCCAAATCAACTTTGTCCATCTCATCATATCTCATTACTTTAATAACCATTTAACACGATTCTCCCATATATGCCAATGTTTCCGAAGCACTCCGTTTCTTTAGGTTTTACCAAAATACTGTATGCAATTCACATGTTTGCCATATGTGTTACATGCTCAGCCCATCCTATCCTCTTTGATTCTTGTGCCCTACTAACATTTTAATAATAATATGTAGTATGAAACTGTTCAGTACGGTAAGCAGAATTCGCCAAACTTCTTTTGCTTCCTCCAATTTATGCCCAAATGTCTTTCTTGTCGTTAGTTTCGCAAACATCCTTAATCTATGTCCATGATTTATTTAATCCGTCTTGCAGTGCATACACTCATTTATCTCCTTCTCTCCCTCGCACTACATGTTTCGGCATAATAATGCCATCTTCAGGTGCTTACTTATCCACGTCAAACCAGTTCATTGCATGCCATGTTCACACATTAAAATAACTAAAATATGTATCTATCATGTACATTGTCAAACGTTAAAAATATTAAAATTGTTCAGGATACCACATCGCTACGTCGCACCTCACTACGCCAGTCACGCCCATTCTCCTTTGTTGGAGCACTCCTTCACTATCTTGTGTGTTGTGCTTTTGTTGTGTCGTGCTCCTGCGACTGCGTGTGTTATACTGTTGGGCTTCCTGGTTATGTGTGTTATCCTTAATCTATGTTCTTTCTTCTCTTGGAATCTATCTCTCAATTCAGCGTCTGAAAAATAACACTTGCTTAAAATGACTTTACGATAAAAATTATTCTAAACTTTTTTTTTTTTGAGATAGATTCATACAATCTGTCCAATTAAGGACAATGAGCACTTTTGTTGACTGATGTGGAACTATATCATTACCAGTGTTAATAAGGCTATCCCAGTAGATGCCTTAAGAATTGTGGCATGTATACACTTAAAACTAGCTAAATCTATCAGCTAGGTCTGACGGCTTGAATCTTTTTAATCTCCTGACTTCATCTTCATGGGTTAGTAGTGAGGCTGCGAGTTCGTTTGGATGTACTTGTAGTCTCCGACTGTACGTAGCACAACACTTTTTAATTTCTTCTCGCACTGTAGATACACTTAAGTCCTTATGTAACACTGTATTGGGCATATACCAGGGCGCATCAGCTATTTCTCTGAGAACCTTGTTCTGGAATCGTTGTAGTATTTCCAGGTTTGAATTGCTGGCTGTTCCCCACAGTGATATGCCATACGTCCATATAGGTTTGAGTATTGCCTTTTAGAGTAAGAGTTTACTTTTAACAGATAGTTGTGATCTTCGTCGGATTATCCAGTACAATTGCCGAATTTTCAGGCCCAATTGTTTTCTTTTGCTGAAGATATGTTTCCGCCATGTTAGCCGGCCATCTAAATGTATGCCAAGATACTTGGCTTCATCTGCTTGCGGTAGTTGTGAGTCATTTAGTGTAACTGGCGGGCATTGTCCTTTTTTCATAGTAAATGTTACCTGGACCGATTTGCTCTCATTGACTTTGATCTTCCACTTTCTTAGCCATTTTTGCATGTCATGTAGGTTTTCTTGAAGACATCTAGATGCCGTAGCAGGATCCGTATGGGTTGCTAAAACAGCGGTGTCATCAGCATATGTTGCAGTCATGGTCATTTCGGTAGTAGGTAGGTCTGCAGTGTAAAGGAGGTATAGTAGCGGGCCTAGTACGCTGCCTTGAGGTACCCCAGCTAGTATAGGGTAGATTTCAGTGTAGAAATCTTCATGTTTGACGAAGAAATATCTTTGCGTAAGGTAAGATTTTAAGATGGAGAACATATTATGGGGCAGATTTGACTTTAGTTTGTAACAGAGTCCCTGGTGCCACACCTTGTCAAATGCTTGGCTAATATCTAGAAAGGCTACTGTACAGAACTTCTTTTCTTCTAGGGCAGTGGAGGCTTCTTTCACTACTCTATGTACCTGTTCAATAGTACCGTGCTTGCTTCTGAAACCAAACTGATGGCTTGGTATTAATTTCTGTTCTTCTAAGATTGGTGTGAGGCGTTTCAGCAAGAGTTTTTCTAAGACTTTTGAAAGGACTGGTAGAAGACTTATAGGCCTATACGATGCAATCTCTTTGGGATTTTTCGCCGGTTTAGGAACCATGATGATTTGGGCTATTTTCCATTGAA